ATTTGTTACCTATTACTATTATTGTTATAGTTATAGGAGTGATTATTATTATTATTATTATTATTATTATTATTATTATTATTATTATTATTATTATTATTATTATTATTATTATTATTATTATCATCACTACTACTACTATTGTTGCTATAATAATGTCTTAGTACAATTAACATTAATATAAATATAATTATTATTGGGTCAGTTTAATATATAATATTATATATGATTTAAGTATTCCTTTTAGAGTTTTTGCGCGCTCGATTGTGACGACCCGGCCCTTCATCACGTGAGTTACCGCCCCGTTTTTCCCATATTATGTTTCTCTATGCTTCATTATCGGTATTTGAGGTAATCGAGTTGGATTGGTTTGGTTTTGGTAGGAAATGAGACATTTAGTCTCTCTAAGGAAAGCTTGTTTTGGAAAAGTCAACCGGAAGTTGACTAGTTAGTTAGAGGGCTCGGATGTAATTTCCGAAGATTCGGTTAGCTTCGGGGGAGGATTTATGACTTAGGAGCGTGATCGGAATTGGTTTTGGAGGTCAGGTGTAGAATTAGGCTTGAATTGGCGAAGTTAGTGTTTTGGCAAATTCCGGTTGGTAGGTGAGATTTTGATCCGAGGGTCGGAATGGAATTCCGAGAGTTGCAGTAGCTCCGTTAGGTGATTTTGGATGTGTGTGCAAAATTTCAGGTCATTCGGAGATGTTTTGGTCGGGTTTTTGATCGAATGTGTATTGCGGTAGTTTTTAAGAAACTTAGGCTTGAATCCGATGTGATTTAATGGTTTTAGCGTGGTTATATGTGTTTTAAGGATTGGAACAAGTTTGAACGAGGTGTTAGGATGTGTTGGTGTTTTTGGTTGAGGTCCCGGGGGCCTCGGGGTGAATTTGAGTGGTTAAAAGGAGAGTTTTTGAAGGTTGCTTCAGGTCTGATTTTGCTGGTATCTAGTATCTCCGCTTCTGCGGAAATGGACCGCAGAAGCAGTTTCGCAGAAGCGGTCAGGTGTGGGTTAGGGTAGTTCCGCATAAGCGGAAGTTGGTCGCTTCAGCGGGTCCGCATAAGCGGACGTTGTACCGCAGAAGCGGTTTTGAGAGAACCGCAGAAGCGTAGTTTGAGGCGCATAAGCGAAGTCTGGGTTTTTAAGTGAAGACCGCATAAGCGAATTTTTGGCTGCAGAAGCGGTCCCGCATAAGCGGAAGCGGGACCGCATAAGCGAAAATTGTTGTTGGCAGAAAGGTTTAAAAGGTTTATTTCATCCGCGAACTCCACCATTTTTCCTCCATTGTTGAGCGTGCTTGGGAGCTATTGACGCGATTTTGAGAGGGTTTGGACTGGGAATCAATTGGAGGTAAGTCCAATGGTCTAGAAACATCATTTTTATTGAAGAATCTACCTTTAATTCTTGAAAATTTTGGGTAAAAATTTGGAAGAACTAGGGCTTAGGTTTTGGAATGAAAATGTGGGAGTCCGCGGACTCTACTAAAACCTGGTCATCGACTCGTTGAGACCTAGTAACCTAGGTTTTGATACCAACTTGTCACGACCCAATTCCCGCCCGGTCGTGATGGCGCCTCTCGTGAAGCAAGGCCAGCCAACAGAACAATCAACACTACTTTTGACAATTTCTTAGCATAGCAGGTTTAAACCATAGATACTGATTAATCATAAGTACGGAAATAAACGTAACTACGAGGAAAAACCATCCCAAACTCAGCCCGATGATCGGGGTGTCACAAGTCACGAGCTACTACAGAGTTGATTGAAAATACTACAAGTCTGGGAAACATAGTCTGAAGATGAAATAAGATA